ACTTTTTACTAAAAAGTACAAAGTATACTAAAGTAAAAAGTTTTCTAGTATAAATTTTTACAATTACTGTTACTGTTACTTACTGTTACTGCTCTATTCTTAAAGAACACTGAGCACTCTATTTGTATAACACACCAACATAATTTTTTATATATATATATATATATATATATATATATATATATATATATATATATATATATATAGATATATATATACATATAACAAAAACACACACATTCGTATAAATATGAACTCGAAATAAATATGGAAGGTATATACTATATAAGGTATTACAAACACTATCATGGTCACTGCTCAAAGGAGTTATCATCTCTAGTTCCATCAACTAAAATTCATTCTTGTTTTACCTGTCATTCAGCTAAGTCTCATTCGTTTACTGTATCTGTCCCTGCATGCTCTAAAAACTTTTATTCATCTAGTTTTTTTTCTCCGCACTTCAATCCTTTGGATTTTAATAAGTTGATATAAAATATTTTTATAAGTTTTTAATAAGTTAATAAATTTATATAAAAAATTTATATATATATATATATATATATATAATATATATATATATATATATATATATATATATAAATACATATATATATAGATATATATACATATACATATACATATATATATATACATATACATATACTTATATATATATATATATATATATATATTTATGTATATATATATATATTATATATATATATACATAAATATATATATATATATATATATATATATATATATATATATTATATATATATATAAATACATATATATATATAAATACATATATATATATAAATACATATATATATATAAATACATATATATATATATAAATGCATATATATATATATATATATATATATATATATATAAATACATATTATATATATATATTATATATATATATATATATATATAGATATATATATATATATATATATATATATATGTATTTATATATATATATATATATATGCATTTATATATATATATATATATATATATATATATATATATATATATATATATATACTATATATATATATATATATATATATATATATATATATATATATATGTATTTATTATATATCTATATATATATATATATATATATATGCATTTATATATATATATGTATTTATATATATATATGTATTTATATATATATATGTATTTATATATATATATGTATTTATATATATATATATATATATATATATATATATATATATATATATATTTATGTATATATATATATATATATATATATACTAATAATATATATATATATATATATATATATGTATATGTATATATATATATGTATATGTATATGTATATATATATATATATATCATGTATTTATATATATATATATATATATATATATATATATATATATGTATATATATTAATAGTAGTAATAGTAGTTAATGCTGTACTGGACAATTCCAGTGAGTGTGATGTTGCACACACTATGACAGAAGTTATGCTTGATTGCTGTTCAGCCAGCAATCAAGACCTCTTTTAAAACAATTAACAGACTTTGCTGTTACAATTTCAATTGGAAGTAAATTCCATGTATTCGCAATTCTGTTAAAAAGAAAATGTTCCCTCGAAGGATGTTTAGCGAGTTCTTTGTGGTATTTAAAACAATGCCCTCTTAAAGAATTTTTAACAAGTGGAAAAGACTTTCTTATGTTTGTTTTGTCAATACCGTGCATAAGTTTGTATAGTGCTATCATATCTCCCCTTTTTCTTCTATCAGTTAAGGTTGTTAAGCCTAAAGCAATAAGTCGATCTTCATATTTGAGATTGCTAATTGACGAAACAATTTTAGTTGCACTGTGTTGTATTTTCTCAATCGCATTACAATCTCTTTTCATATAAGGAGACCAAACTGGAATTGCAAATTCAAGAAGTGGACGAATGAATGTTAAATAAAGAGATTTCATAAGTTGACAATCGAAGCTTGCAAACGATTTCTTTATTCACCCCAGCATTTGATTTGCTTTTCCAATTGCCATAGTTACTTGATCTTTCCATTTAAGATTTGTCAAAAATATAACTCCAAGATTTCGTTCAGACTTAGAATCATGAAGTTGTATACCATTAATGAAAAGTGGATAATTTTTATTAGTTGAGCCATAATGCATGACAACACACTTGTTTATGTTGAATTTCAGCAACCAGTCTTGAGTCCATTCAAATGCTTTATTCAAGTCATTCTGGATTTCTTTGACACACAAATCTGAATTTACTATTGATAAAATTTTGGTATCATCAGCATGAAACATTTTTGATTGTGTCTGGAAAATCATTAATATAGACAACAAAAAGGAATGGTCCAATTACTGAACCCTGTGGCACACCACTAAATACTTCAACCCAATTAGAGACAATGTCACCCTTAACTACTCCGAAGGCTTTATTTTCGTTAAGACTCTGAAGCCTCTTCAAAACATCATTATAATTGATTTCGTCTGGAGATATATCAGAAAAATTTGTAGCACAATTGCTAAATCTTGACTCAAACTTAGGAAGGGCACCATCAGGTTCAATAACAAATACATCTTGAAAACATTTGTTTAAAATATTAGCAATTTCAACTTGATCTTGTGAAATATATCCATCGTCTTTTCGTAAAGCTTTTATTGGTTCTTTTACCACTAACTGATTGTTAATATAATTATATAGCAATTTTGGATTTTGCTTAGCTTTTTTAATTAAGTCTTGTTCATATTTTATTCGAGAACGCTTCACTTCAGATTTTATAATCCGACATAGTATTTTATAATCTTTACTCAAATTAGCATCTTTCCATTTTCGAAAACAGTTTCTATATCTCAAATTTTTCTTTTTCCTAATCAGGTATTTAAGTTCTTTATTTATCCAAGAAGTTTCCATACTTATATATATATATATATATATATATATATATATATATATACATATATATATATATATATATATATATATATATATATATACATATATATATATATATATATATATATATATATATATATATATATATATATATATATATATATATATATATATATATATATATATATATATATATATATATATATATATATATATATATATATATATATATATATATATATATATATATATATATATAATAAAAAGTGAGCAAATGCTTATATAAAAAAGCTATAGTATATATATATATATATATATATATATATATATATATATATATATATATATATATATATATATATATATAATAAAAAGTGAGCAAATGCTTATATAAAAAAGCTATAGTATATATATATATATATATATATATATATATATATATATATATATATATATATATATATATATATATACATTTGAAATGTTTTAATAAACAATATAAATAAATTGTGGTTAAACAAATAAACACTTCATATAAAATATTTATTTCTTTTAATGTTACTCTTAAGTAAGATACACTAAGTTTAAGTTTAATATTTTTTAGCACTAGAGGCCTTTCAAAAAATCATCAGTAGTGCTATTTATCTAATCAAAATAATATTTTCCTAATTTTAAACAGGAAATGATAATTATCCATAATTTAATCTTTATAACTATTATAGTCAATTTTTTAATTGCTTATAAAAAGGAAATGTCATTTAAAAGTGTCATGTTTTTGTTTGTGGAGATGTTTTTCATAGGAAATTAATTTTTTTTTCATTTTTGAGTTTCAAAAAAACAAAAAGTTGGAAGAAAAGTTGGATTGCAAGATAAACATTTTAGATAGTATATTCCATTTTTACTATTGCAAGTTACATGGCTCTTAATGTTCCATATGGAACCATTTGATGTTGTAAATTTTTTAACTTCTTTAAGGTAGAATTTGCATATATTACAATGATTATGTTTACATTTAAATAATCTTTTTTTTTTCCTGAATAAATGGAACTTTGCAGAGGTCAGTATTCTTAACAGATTGGGTGTTTGTTTAAATGCAATTATTTGGCTGGATATTTGAAAAAACTTCTTCAATTCTTTCATTTAAAGATAGATTAAGTAAAAGATTAGTTTCAGTTATGAAAGGTTGACAATTCAAGTTGCTATAAAAAGCTGTAATTAAGCGAAAGATTTCTTTAGATTGATTTAGATTGATTTTGGGGAGCTGGTCTTTGGAGTTTTGATTGTGAAAAGCTTTTTCTATAATATTATCAGTATTCACATTCTTTTAGCCATGTTTTTAGTTCTGCTAATTGTTGTTTTTCTTTTTTTGTAATCAGATGTGAAAACAATTATTCTTTTAGCCAGATTAAAAGGGATTTTCTTTTTATGTGATAAGGTTGATGACTTTTATAATTTAGGTAATCATGAGTATTGGTTTCTTTATAATAAATGTCTTTTTTTATTTTATTGCTATTTTCAAGAATAATAGATGTCTAAAAAAATTTTTAAGAAAGATACCAAGAGATTTAGAAAGCGAAAGTTTTATTTTGACATGTGACAGTGTTTATCTCTATACTAGTATTCCACACAAATTAGGATTTATATACACACAAATTATGTATATATATATATATATATATATATATATATATATATATATATATATATATATATATATATATATATATATATATATATATATATATAAATATATATATATATATATATATATATATATATATATACATATATATATATATATATATATATATATATATATATATATATATATATATATATATATATATATATATATATATATATATAAAATATATATATATATATATATATTTGTGTGTGTGTGTGTACACACATACATAGTTAACATTTAGAAGATTAATGCTTGAAAAATAAATGTTTTGTGTAATATTTAAAATTGAATCTTGTATGTAAAATGAATTTTATATAACTTTTTTGTTTTTTGTGTTGTTATTGTTTTGTTTTATCTACAATCGTATTTTTATTGTCTAGTTTTACTTTAGATGGAACTCGTTATAAACCTTTTTTTGAAAGAAATCAAAGATTGTATATGTTTATGGCAGATGCCTTTAGGTTTGCAATATTTGTTATATATTTGTTTCTATATCTTAAAGAATGGTATTTTATGATATGATTCTTTTGTATAAGTTAAGTTTTTAAGCAAATTATATTTTTGTAAATTAAAAATAGGTCAATATACTTGAATTATGAAAAAGATGTGGAGTTCTATGACATCCAACTTTACAGTCACACAACATCATTTAATCTATTAGGAAATGTGAGCATTAGTCCATGGAATCAAGATTTTTGTACTGATCAGTGCTATGAGACAGGAGTTTTACATGTCGGAGGCTGTGCTGATTCACCAAGTAATTTTATTTTTTAAAAGTACATACCAGTATCTCCTAAGTCATAATTGATGAATTTATCTGAAGATATTTCTTAAAGTAACTTTAAAAGAGAAGTTTTTTAAAGTTTCTAAGTTGCAAAATTAAAACTTGCACCATTTGGCACTTAATGTAAGTTTTTAAAGTTTATGTTCTAAAAAGTAGTTGGAAAAACAATGCTTGAAAAATCTTATATACTTTTCTCAAATAGTTGTTTAGTAAAATTATAAATAAAAATTTGTCTATTTAAACTAATAAACTTTCTGTTGAACTATCAAGTCTGGTTTATCCACTATGCTTTTTTGGAACTTGATTCCTAAGTTTTACTTTTTTATGTTGTGTTCAATATGGAATGTTACAAGTTTTATATTCGTATGAATATTGGCTGTAAAATTATTTTCAATGTAATAACTTCTCACATGGAATAATATATTGTTGTTATTTATGAACATTATATGTTGTATAATGCCAAGTTAAAGCTGTTGCCTTGTTTACATAAAAATGAAGATTTTTATTTATCTTATATTTATATTTAAATATCTTTATGATTTTTGATTACTTTTTAATCCCCATTAATATACTATTCTTATAAATATACTTAAATATATTTGAAAAATATTATAGTTAAAATTTTTTGGTGCTCTAAACAGCAATTAATTTTAGTTTGTTTGGTGCAGTTTTGAAAACTTTGCACTAATTATATAATTTCAAGATACTGGTTGAAAAGGCTAGTTTGGCACTAAGTCATCAATTTTATATATTTACATCAAATAATTTTTGGTATATTATTGGAATGTTTTTCCAAATGTATTGAATGTTTTTTTAAAGTACATCTTTATATTTGTTCTTAGAAAGTTTTTTATATGGGTCCACATCCACGTGTGTGATTTTCAACTGAATTTATGTCCGGTGATTGGCCTGGCCAGTTCAAAATCCAAATTTTCTCTTTATGAAACCTATTTTTTACAACCTTCACAGTATACTTTGGGTCATTATCTTGTTGATAGACCTGAATCACAGGTAAATTTTCTTCTGCAAATGGTAGTAAAACATCCTCCAGTATATTTAAATAAATTTCTTTGGTCATTATTTTTTTTTTAATCCATAAAAAGGGGCCTACTTCATAATATGAAAAGCGACCCCATATTTTAATATTTCCACCACCATGTGGAAACCCTTTTTACAGTATAGGATCATTTTTCTTTTGATCTTCTGACATTTTTTCAGTGCATCTGACCCAAACAAGTTAATTTTGGTGTCAGCTGCCCAAAAAATATTTCTCTATTTTAATGGCCAGTCCATGTGCTCCCTAGCAAAATCTTTCTTATTTTAATATTATTTGGCAATAAAAATGGACACTTCTTTGGTATCTTTGCTTTAACATGTTGTTGATAAAGCCTTTTTCTAACTGTCGTAGCATAAATTTGAGGCAAATAGTTGTTTTTATTTCTTTTGATGTTGCAAAAGGATTTCTTTTGGAATAAAGAACAATATTTTTCACGTGTTTTGAGTGTATTTTTTTAAAAATTGGATTGCATGCCATATTAATTGAATAGTCTATTAAATTTAAAATTTCTTTCAAAGTCTTACCCTGGTTTCATAAATTTTTAATTAAGTTTCTTTTTTTCCAAATAATGTACGTTATGACCCATTTTTCCTAAAAAATTAAACATTTTCATTTTAATTCAACAAATTTCATAGTAACTGTTAATAAAATTAATCCTTTAACTAAATTAATTAATGATTATTTTAAATAATTTAATTTGAAATATACATTACCTCTTATTTTACATGCCTTTAAGTATTTAAGAAAAATCAAATAAATACACAAACTTAATTATACATCATCAGTAAATAACACAATATACATAAAAAAGTGAGGTTAGAAATATCTGTGGGATTCCAGCATTTATGTTAAGTAGGTTAATAAATGATCTAATAAATATGATGCAATAAAGGCATTATGCTTATTATTACCTGTAATTTTGTACACCACTGTATGTATATTTATATACTGGTTGTTAGAAAATTTGTAGTATTTGATCTATAAAGTTACAATAAGACAGGAAGTACTTTTATGTACTAAATAACTGGTGTTGTTTATTATGTAGAGAAGGAAAACACCATTAAAAGTCAATATTCTATGAGAAATTGTTTAAAACCTTTTATATGCAAAATAGATAAGCAAAGACCTAAATCACGGATTCAAAATTTTAAATTTCTCCATGATAACACTTAATCCCATGTTACTCAAACTGTTAAAAATAGTCTTAACCAAGCTGGAATAACAATTTGTCACTTTCCATACTCATCAGACTTACCTCCATTGGATTATTTGCTATTTGACTTGATAAAACAAAATCTAGATGATAATACTGACATCAAATTCCAAAGAACAGGTGTTTAAGGAAAAAAATCAGGTGAATAAGAATTTTTGGAGTGCTTTAGAACAGTCACAGTAAAAGGATGAGACCAAATTAAATGACAAGTACCACAATAATGAATTTTAGTAGATTGCACAAAAGATGCTAGCTTCTTAGAACAGTGCCCATTATTGTAATTATAGAAAAAAGAAAGAGAAGCAATGTTACAACAATGTAACAATAGTTTAAAATTGGGTGCAAGAACAGGTCTAACTATGTTTGCCTTGGGTTTTTGCACCTTGCCTAAAAGAGAAAAAGCATCATTCAAAGATTCGCTCCAGATATGGCAACATTCCATACTAGAACAGATTTGAGATTTATAGAGATAAAGAAAAAAATCTGGAGTAAGAAAGTGGCGAAGCATGATAAAGAGATGCTGCCTTAGTAGATGCTAATGAATTTTTTATATGTAGTTATCAATAAAGATCAAAAATAAAAGTTAATCCTAAAAGTCAAAGGTTAGATCTAGACTATTGTGGTAACAATTAGCTTAAAAAATTGTGTTTTATTTGAGTTAAAGTTCACCAGCCACTGAGAGCTTCATGCTGTAGCAGAAGTGCTATCTTTTTTAAGCTTAAATTCCCCCTCCATCCAATCAGTGAGTGTTGGCTTCTTATCAAGACAAGAATAAATGGTAGTATCATCAGCGAACAATGCTACCTTAGATGTGAGAATATCTAGGAGATTGTTAATGTAAAATAAAAAAGTATAGGGCCAAGGATAGAACATTGACAAAACCCTGAAGTTACAGGAAATGAAGAAGAGTGCTGTCTATCGGGGACAGCTTATATATTACGATTGGTAAAGAAGGATTCAATCATCTTAATTATCTTTATTACTTTCTTACACTGTAAGAAAAGAGCTTCCATGATGATAAAAGTTGTCCAGCATGCAAAATTTTATCAAAGTCTTTAGAAATTTTGAAAGTGACAAAATCCATATTGATGATCAGAAAGTAAGTTATTAGATTCAAGATAAGAGATTGTTTCTTAATTAAAGACTCTTATAGCTTATTATAGTAAGAAGACTAATAAGAGGGTAGTTTGACAAATCAGATTGGTCTCTAGAATTTTTGAAACTAGGAATGACAGATTCTGTTTTTTCCAGCAGGCTGAAAAGTAAGACTTTGATAAGCACTTGTTAAGCAGTTTTATAAGTATAGCATGTATGTTGTCCAGACCACAAGCTGTAGAAGAGTCTAAGCAGGAAATCACTTTTGATACAGAAGCTTGAGTGATACAAATGTCAAGCAATGGATCCACCTGTTTGTTGGCTATATCATATAGGATGTGATTAGTGGAATCAAGAGATAAGATTGATGAAAAGTTTTTAGCAAACATTTTAGCTTTGTCTTTAGGTGCAATTGGAAAACTTTTATTATAAGTTTTATTATAAGTATATTTTAATATTTTATTATAATAACTTATATATCTCTATAATTTTGTTATATTGAAAATTTTATTAGGATCATAGTTGGCTTGTTAACATTCAATTTTTAGTTTTAAAGACTCTTTTTTTTAAGAATAAAGTCAGCGTTTTTTAAGGATTTGCCCCTCCCCTTCCTTCTCCTTGTTTTATTCCTTAAATTGACCCTGGACTGATTATCTAGTGTAGAATATGCAAGGTAGTGCCGCTATATCAGCTCAGAGTTTGGGTTATTAGCAATCGTTTTTTTATTAATCTTTTATTTTATAAATAATAAACCACACAAAATATAATATTAGGAAATCGCATCATGTGTAACATATTATGTGTAACATAAATATACAATTATTAATAACTATATATTATATAAAAGTTGCATGCAATATTATTTTGTTATTTTTTATAAAATATTAACATATTTAATAAATTACACATATATATTGAGTTAATCTAATATGCAATTGTTATGTAGGTGTTCCAGTGTTTATGTCATGGCCGCATTTTTATCAAGGTGATGAAATGCTGTATAAAAATGTTGATGGGTTGAGTCCAAATAAAGAAAAACATGCAATTTTTATAAATGTAGAACCGGTACAAAGCTTTGTCTTAATTAAATATCTTGCAATAAAAATGATTTTGTTTTAGGTTTTGTTGCTTTTTTCAAACAATATATTTTTGTTAATTTGGAGGAACTTTATATTTTAGGTAAATTTGTAAAAAAAAATTTTTAGATTACTGGAATAACTATGCAAGCAAAGATTCGATTGCAAATAAATTTCCTTGTGGAAAAGATTCCTTTACTTCAGTTAGTTTTTTCCCTTTTTGGCTATAAAAATAACAATTTGAATAAATTCTGCTGTATCAGCACTTCACCTACTTATATTTAATTAAAATTTTTATGAAACTTTTTATAAAAATTTTATTAAGCTTCTTTGCACAGAAAAATGTTCACTGTATGCATGCTTGTGATTGAATGTGAATTTTAATGACTTACTGTTTGAAATAAATTCTTTTTATTAGAATTATCCAGTTTTTCTTTATTTTTAAATTTTCTGGATTTGATTTTTTACAGCATAGCAGAAGGTTTGGCAGCAGAGAGGACTTATATGCCAGTGTTTTTTTTTGATGAGGTAATTATATAAATATTTTTATTTATAAAAAAAATTTATAAAAATTAAAAAATAATAGTTTTTTTTTTTGAAAAAATGAATATATTAAATTTTAAAAATCCACTGTTTATAGAAAATCAAAAGTCAAAACCTGACAATAATTTATATCAATTAACGTACAGAACTCCAGAATCTAAAACAAATTGTACTACCATGACATATACCTTATACATATAGATATTTATACTTCTTTATAATTTTTTTATACATATAAATGGTGGCCAGACTTTTTAGGATACGGGCAAAAAAAAGTTAAAAAATAATTTTGCGGGCAAAAATTACAAAAACATAGGTGGCTATAAAAATCATTTGTATCAAAGCAATATAATTATTAGGAGTGGTGAACTTGTCTGAAACTAGTTTTTCAATGTCTGGATAGATTTTTGAGGTAAATAGAAGTATCAGATTGCCAAGATGGTTGTCAGTCAGAGTTGACCTATGTTGGCTTTTTATGTAATTCATTGTAGAAGATGTTTTTTTCACAAATTTAGGTTTGAGCCAAGTTTACAGACAAATCTGAGTGCCATATCATTGAGTTTAGGAAAGGCATTTTTGGGAACAAATTTCCAGAATGATTTCAGGTCTGGAGCAATTGGCGATAAACACAGTTCTTGAAGTTTGCTTTTTAATCATGTGTGATTTTGAATGTCTGTGATTTCCAATTGCAATTTTGGTGTATAATTGCAAATATTATCTAATATAGTAAATGGGTTGATAAAGAGTAAAATATTCTTAGTTTCAGCTTTAAAATCTGCAAAGCGAGTTTCAAAATGGCAGGTGTGTACTTTTGAAACACAACACTGGTAATCTTACTTTCAATATAATAATTTTCAAGTGGTGGAAATAACTCCAGGAAGATTTTTCTGTGATAAACTGTCCTTAAATAATTTTAACTTGGCCTTAAAAGCATTAATTTGGTTAAATAATGTTGGAAATATAATATTTTCACCTTGCAAGTTTGTGTTTAAAATATATAGGTAATTTTTTATATCCACTAAAAATGCATAATCACGTAACCAGTCTTTGTTTTTAAGAAAGTCACATTCTAACGGTAATTCGTTTTTTGCTTCCAAAAATTGTAACACTTCATTTTTTAATTCAAAAAACCTGGTCAACATTTTCCCTTTTGATAACCATTTAACAGAACAATGTAATAAGAGTGTTTATTTGTTTCATTTTCAAAAAATAAACAAAATTTTCTTCTATGAAGTTCTCTTGCTCTTATTTTGGTTAATGCATGGTACAGCAGTTTTATTGACATGGCCAAATTCTATATCTTTTGAGCACAACACTTCTTGGTGAATAATGCAATGATATTTAAAAATTTTTCTTTGTAAATATTTTTCAAGAAGAGAAACACATCCACTGTGCTTCCCAACTATTTCAGGTGTGCCATCAGTGCAAATACTATCCAATTTATTCCAGATTTTCAATTCATGCTTTTAATGTTTTAAAAATATCAGATTCAGTTGTTGAGGTTTGAAGCTGACAGAGCCCAAAAAGTTCTTGGACAACATCAACATTGTTTACACATTTTATGTAAACTAATAATTGAGCATTGTCAGTTAAACCACTACTTTCATCAATAGCTATTGAAAAGTATTTAGAAAGCAAGGAGACAACAGTGATTTGTTTTGATACATCAGAGGCCATTTCAACTCTTCTCATTACTGTGTTTCTGGAAAGGGCAATATTTTGTGACAATTTCTTTATGCTCGCAAAAATTGATAGACATTTTTTTACAATTTCCTTGTCTGAAAAACTTTTTTTTCTTTTGCGCAAGAAGAAGAGAAATTTAGAATGAAGCTTTCATTATTGTTTTCATTTCTTACTGTTTTTTGATGAACAAATTTTGTTGAGATGCCAGTTGAGCTTTTTTTTGAGATACATGACTTGTTCTGAGAGCGGATTTATAAGGATATTTAACCTTGAATTCATTGTGCAATTCTTCAAAATTTCTTTGCAGATTTTATTTTTTCATGCCAACAATAGCTTCAAAACAGATCAGACAGGTTTTGAAGATAAAGTTTAGATAAACAAAAATTTCTCCTCCCGCTCATCTTCAAAAAAGCTAATTAGTTCTTTTTAACTTTTTCTTTTTTGTAATGATGAAATTCCTTTAACTCATTGCTAATTTATTGTGAAACAACAATTCAAACAATTTAAAATAATTTTGTAATGACAAAAAAATGTTTTTTCTAGAAAATACTGTAACCAATAACTAATTTAAAATCCTAAAGATTGTGATATTGAAGGTTAAGTCACATTTTGCATACATAAACAACAATAGTATTAATGCAACTTTTCAAATTTCTTTTTTAAAAGTGTAACTCAAAAAATAATAAACATTATGAAAACTCCTTTGTTTGAAATAATCAGAAAACAAAAGAACTTTTTAATTACTAAATTAACTCATTTAATGCAATTTAACCCTTTATCACCAGTGGAGTTTAAATATTAACCATCCTCCTAAATATCCAAATTGTTTAACAGGCATTTAAAAAAGTCTCTGCTGGCATTTTTTTGCCCACAGGCAGTGGTTTGGCCACCACTGCTCTAAAATCAAATGCATTTAATTTTTTTTTTTTTTTTTAAATGCTTTGTGTTTTTTGATGGCAATAAGATTCCTTCAATATGGACTCTTCCAATAAGGATTTTTTGATAATTTAAGTTACACAGAACAGACGTGAACTGTGAACTTATCATTTACAAAGATATAGCATATTCAACAAGCAACAAAACAACCACAGAAAAAACTATATTAAATGTTATTTTTTGCTTTAAAACTGCCAATAGAAGAACCATTGACAATTTCATCCAGCTGAACATTTCAAGTACTTGCAAAATGGTTGTTGAAAAAGTTTTATACTATTAAAAAGTTAATAATAATTTTTTTAAAAGCTACTAAAATATCTAATGGGGTTTTCAAAATTTTTGGATAAGAAAACTTTTGATTGACTTTATTTTGATTAAGAAAAGACCAACACTCTGATGACAAAGAGGTTGACAATAATTACCTTTCTAGGTGTTGAGTGTGTTGCAGTTAACACATGAAATAAAAACTATGACCAAGTACATTAATTTTGATAAAAACTGAGTAAAAAAAGAGTACATTAATTTTGATAAAAACTGTGATGGCTTTTCTTTTTAAAGTATCATCGTGATACTATCCATTTATGACCTGCAATAATTGCTTTAAAGTAAGTGATTTTTGAAAGCCATTTTTCATGCCTGATGTTATCTTGTTCTCATGAACTTAAAAAAATATTTGGGTTGTTTTTTATTAAAACATTCACATTTTTTTAACTTTCTAAATCTTTTTCTGACTGTAAAAGCCAACCATAATCTAAATAAACTGGAACACATAATAAATTGAAAAACAAAGCCCTTTTTGAGATAAGTCAAACCTTGTTTATGTTAAACCCTGTTTTTTCCAAACCTTTATTTGTTGATAAAAAAAATTAACAAATTTAACTACTTTAAATTCTTATAAAATGATCATTTATTATATATAATAGCTAAGTTCTTTTGATAGGAAACTCATCAATGACAATCCACTAAAGTTCTTTTGATAGAAAACTAATCAATAACAATCCACAAAGAGTTCTTTTGATAGGAAACTCATCAATAACAATTCACTAAAGTTCTTTTGATAGAAAACTTATCAATAATAATCCACTAAGAGTTCTTTTGATAGGAAACTCATCAATAACAATCCAATAAAAGTTCTTTTAATAGAAAACTCATAAATAACAATCCACTAAAATTCTTTTGATAGAAAACTCATCAATAACAATCCAATAAAAGTTCTTTTGATATAAAACTCATCAATAACAATCCACTTAAAATTTCTTTTGATATTTATTATTATTGAACCTTTTATTAATTTTTTAAATGTTTTAATCTTACCAAAGCTTTTCATTGCTACTAAAACAAGTACTTCTCTATATTAATGTGGCTTTCAAAAATGTTGAATCTACCCTTGTGATATGCAACCATTACTTGACAAAACTCTAGCTAAAATAATGAGGTATCAGCCATCAGTTTATCATTCTTGGGTGCTCTCAAATTGAGAGCATCCAAGAATGATAAAAACTTTGTGTATGACAAAACCAAAGCTGAAAAGAATTTAGTTGACATGCAAGCAGGAAAAAGGCTTTCTCATTTGGGGTTAATTAATATGCAACAAATAATCTAACTTTAAATCAAAATAATGTTGATAATCTTCAAAATTAATCCAAAAAAAATTACAAAAACAATTTGATGGTTCTGATAAAACAGCATCAATAACAAACAGCACAAACAGCATCAATAACAATACACCTTTCCAACTTGAATTCTTTTATTTTGCGCAGCGGGGACTGAACTCTAATTGTGGTGGTAAAAATCTGAATATTCAGTAAAAAGGCTTTTCAAATATTTGTAAAAACTTAGTATTTATACCTGTTATTAAATTCAACAGGATGGGAAGAGGTAACTGCAGTCATAGGTTGTTCAAATAGCCATTATAAACTTTTTAAGTGGAAAAAACAAGAATGCAATATTCATGCAGATTTCAAAAAAGAACAATGTTGTTGTAATCATCCTTTTAAACTTTACTGTTTTCCAAGTTCTTTAAGAAATTCTAGAGAATGAAAAAGTGGAAAGTTTTATTAAAAAGGAAAGAAAGAATAAGAAAAAATGTAATCCATGTCACTGTGATTGTGTATGTTTTATTCATTTTGTAGATGGAACACCTACCATTATCAATACAATTATATCCCATATATGGGATATAATTGCATTGATATAAAACCAAGAAAAAGTTTATATAAACAATTTTCAAAATCAAACTTTTTAGTTTCGAAAGATATTAGCACAAACAAATAAATAGTTACACAACTAAAGATAATACTATTGAGTTATGTAATACTGGTGTAAAATCAAAGTTATGTAATATCAGTGAGTTATATAATACTAAT